AAGAAGAACAAATGGCCTTATGTATACGCTATTGTAAAGGGCTAGACATTTTTGAAAAGTTCATTGGTTTCATTAACTGCTCTGAAAGTCAAAATGCTCCATCTCTTTGTGAATATATACTCAAATACTTGAAGGAATGTGGATTAAACTCTAATGCTAAACTGGTAGCCCAGTCTTACGATGGAGCTAGTGTTATGTCTGGGAGATTTAATGGTGTACAAGCTTTAATAAAATGTAAATTTCCATATGCTATTTATACCCATTGTATGGCTCATAGAGTCAACCTTGTAGTGCTTGATATGTGTAAAACTGAAAAGGTATGTGAAAACTGAAAATATAGTATAATATTGTGAATTTATTGTGTATTATTAGGTAGGTATATTTATCATATTGTTTGCTTTAAAGGAATCAAGAAATGTTTTTCATACATTAGAGTCATTATATGTTCACTTTTCTCAACCAGCGAGAAATAAAAATCTCATTGACATTCAAAAAAAATTAGGTATTGAAAAAAAGACTTTAACACGACTGAGTGACACAAGATGGAACTGTCGATATAAAAATTGTGAAGCTTTACAAAAATGTTATGCTTCTATCATAAGATTATTAAAAGAAGAAATTGAAAACAATAATGATAAAGATGTTAACGAAGCAATAGGTATCAATTATAATTTATTACTAATTTAAACATTTTTATTTCTTATAATTAAATGAACTACCTAATTTATATTATTAATTATACAATCAATTTTTTTAATTTTTCAGGAATTCTGACCAATATGCAAAAAGGAATATTTGTAGTTCATTTATTTATTCTTCAAAAGGTGCTTACTATGGTTAATATATTATCAAATCAACTTCAGTCATAGACAGCTACACTAGGAAATGCGGCAAATGTAATAAAAAGTGTTATTAAATCGTTCGAAGATTTAAGAAATCCTGTTGCGTTTTCACAAATGTGGAAAGAAATATTACTATTTTGTGAAGACCATAATTTAACAATTGAAAATCCATTTCAAAGTATGCATAATATAATAATAAATAATATTAGTACAATAAATATAAACATTAAATAATGTTTGTTGTTTTTTAAATTGTAAAATAGGTTGTAAAAGAAAAAGGTTACAGCCAAAAAGCCTATCAAGTTTTGTCATGAGTACAACTACAAGTGCTCAATACAACACTCCTGAGGAATTAGAGGAAAGTAAAGAAGATTATTTCAGATGTCATGCTTATTTTCCTATATTGGATTGTATAATTGAGAATATGAATAAACGATTCACGCCCGAAAGTTTAGAAATGGCAACATCTATAGATAACTTTTTCAAACTAGATTTTGCACTAAGTACTTATTTCATTGATCATTATAAAGTAAATATGTATATTGTATAGCTGTATAGTGTATATATTGACTAATACTTAATTTTATATTTCTTTAGGATTTGTTAAGTATTTCTGACTTCTGTTGATTCGTTGAAAGCTGAAATGATCGTCGCTAAAAACGTTATAATCCAAACATATGGTACTTCAAAAGAATTAATAACTGATAACTTAAAACTTATTTTACAGGAAAATGTTTACCCAAACTTGTTTCATTTGTATAAAGTAGCTATAACATTACCTATTAGTTCTTCCACGTGTGAGAGAAGCTTTTCGGCCATGCGCCGAATAAAAACATGGTTACGAACGTCTATGTTACAAGATAGATTTACTCAGGTGTCTATATTGTACATAGAAAAAAACGATACCAAAAATATTAATAAAGATATCATTCTTAAGCAATTCGCAGAGGAACATAAATATATTATGTTAAAGTAATATTAAGATGATGTTAATTGTTATTACTTATTAATATTTGAATTAAATTATGTATGGTTTTATTTAATAAATAATTTTGAAGTATTTATATACATGTTTTTAAATTGTAAAATTTGGATGTAGTTGGTGAGGGGGAGGAAAAAGCTTGCATAGTAGGCTTGTTATAAAGTTCTAATGTTATAAATTATAAATTATAATCTTAGCGTTGGCCCCCCCTTCTAGCAAGCCAAATTTACGCCTATGAGTATATTTTAATTATGATTTTAGATTTCTAGAGAAGCGGGAACAATAATATGTGGCAGCTCTACCATGATTTGTTTTTTGTTTATGTATGTACACTTCTAAGGTAGAAAAAGTTCTATAAAATAGAATAAAAATAATATAAACATTTAATAGATTGAAATCATGACTGGATACGATTTTGAACTTTGAAGAGGTCGTTCATAGATTTCTTCACAGTTTATCGTTTACACGACTAATGCAGATGAACTAAATATTTTGAGAAACCACAATTGCTAAAGTAATGTCTTTATTAAGGTCTATATCAACTTATAATGCTTTTGGTCCTTTACCATTGCTTTCAAATTGAATATCACAACACACAACTTTAACATAGGTCGCCAAACAATAAGCTAGGTGATTTAGTCGGGCTACATTGTTTTCTATTAGGCATTAAGAAAGTCCAAAAAGCTCTATAGATTGGAAATTAAAGACAAACTGTAGGTAGTTTAAAGAAATTAGATATTATTTAAAACTAGCCAATATAGGTTTTGAAAAAAATGTAAAACTACAAATAATAATAAGATGGACCTCGTATAGATCTAATAGTGCATTTTTGGGTGAATCGATCGACTACAAAATCGTATAGGTATATTTGCAATATTATTCGGATTTTATGTCTCGTTCAATTTTAAATCGATACTAATGCAACATAGCCTCGTGCCAAGATGCTGAGTAAAGCGAGACAAACGTTCTAACTTATAAATCGCTGACCAAACATGTTTTTTTTTTAAAGTGGGTAATTTTATTTTCAACGTAGTTATCATTATGCGTCTTACACTCATATAGTGATTTATAGATTATATAAATCACTAGCGGTAGGTTTGTCCTGCCACGATATTTGGTTGGATATCAAGATGTAGTTTTTAAAAAAAAAAATATTTTGTAATCCCTCTCCAACCCATTACAAGTTGGCTTTCGTGTTTCACCGCTGGTGTGCACATGCTGCAGTACAATGGCATTTACAAATAAAATATAATACACGTACGTCGTACACTGAATATATAACTAAAATACTAAACGTAAATATACATTGGTACATTGATGTATGTATACACCAATAAAGTTTGAATGTTTTATTCTGCGCGTCAATTTAAAGTTCTGTTATTGTTGTTGCGCGATTTATTATTTTATCACCGATTTTCATTATTATTATCATCATCATCATTGTCGATGTCGTCGTCTATCGCCTCGATGTGGCAACGTCATCGACATTGGGTCTGCCGTAAAATTTTGCTGAAAACAAATACAAGGAGCTGGATATTTATTGGTGTTCTACACACACACACACACACACACACACACGCACACACACATGACACGTTCGTCGAAGTTTTGCTTCAGATGATTTATTTACGGCTTGTATTATTACGATTCAGATTTGCTTTTTTTAAACCCCAATTGTCATTGTAATGCAGTGTTGTATTTAAATGTATTTTTTTTTTACATATACAAAGCTTTTGTCGACTCCTAGTCAATAATATTGTGTGCGTTACATAATTTAAATTATATATTTTATCGTTCAACATTTTAATTACACAGTATGGCCTTGGCTATATTCGGTTATAAAATATCAAGAATATGTATATATATATTATATTTCAGTCTACACTTGCTTTTTGATTTAATTTTTCAGCACTTTACCCTTTCTTGTTGTACCTACTTCAAAAGGTATTACATTTTCTTAAGTTAGTGTTTCGAATTTCTCATCGGCAAAAATGTCCGAATATTTCTCATAAAAGACCTCAAAAAGTCGTGTATAATAGTATATGGTTCGTAAAACATATTTGTAATTGTACTTAAGAATTTACTGTTTACTTTTTAGTTGTTAAATGTTTTTAAAAAATAAATGTTTATTAAATAACTTTTTGTACTTGAAAACTCTTAAAGCTTTTAGTAGCTGGTAGGTAAGTATAAAATAGTTTTATAACAATGAAGCAATTGTTGCTTTTAAAAATGTTAGTAGGTATAAATAATAATTGGTGATCTGCGTTGTGGTACTCGCATAATATAATAATATTATAATATATTATTATTATGACTATCTAAAACAAATATTTTTGACATCAATTATAAACGCATTGTATATTTGTATCTTCTTTTCAAATTTAAATTTAAAGGTGATGGTATAGACGTCAAAATCTTAAAATTAATATGTAATGCTGGTGAAAATTATTTTTCTGAGAATATTTATTATTGATACAATAAATATATAATATATAATACAAAATATGTATGTTTTTTGTAGCACATATTAGACTTAGATATTTAATACTAACTTGTATAGCTAAAATTATGAGCAACTTGTAATTAACCTGTACATTGTACAATATACATAGAAGTAAATTAAATTCTAAGAAAAGTGAAACGTTGCAGAGTCGTTGATTGTGCCAAGAACGTAACATAACAAGATTAGTAATTTTTAAAATTAAATCACATAGTCACCATTTTTAGTTGAATTCTTAATATTACCTAGTCAAAGATATGAATGTATTTTTATTTAATTTAATATTATAGCTTAAAATGTTAAATAATACAACAACCTTATCTTATTAATTTACTTATTTACGTTGGAAATGTATGTTTTAGAACTAAATATATTTACATTAAATGATATATTTTTCATTTTTACTAAGATACGAATAAGTATGTTAACATCATCATTATTATGAAAGGATATTGTCCTGAATGTTTTATGTTTAATTTTACGCTTGAAAGATATTTCAAAGAAATAATTTAATCTAAGAATTTCCCACTCATAAAAAGAAATTAGATACTATCTATATATAAGTAACATTTTAATTTTAGCTTACATATTTATTATGTCTGTAATACAAATACGTTTCCATTGCCTCTTTATCTACGTATTTTGTCGTATAAATCAATGAAAATAAATTGTTTTTACATATTTTCTGGACGATGTTACCTACGACGTATGGTACCTAATTATAATACTAAGAAGTTAATATCGTAAAACGAATTAAACAGTGTATCAATCTATTACAAATGTATTACCGACGTAATAATAATATAATACAATTCATATAGTTCATATATTTATGGAGGTACGTCACAATATAAAAAACTACAATTTTTGATTCTCATTATTCTTGTTTAACGTCAAACTGAATAAAATACGTTTCTGTGTATAGAAAAATAAAATTTAATTTTAGATCAAACGTCATTAAATTGTGACGTAAATTGCGATAAAAACATTTATTATTTATGCAGGTACATTATATTTAAATAAATTGATCACAAATATTATATACTAACAATGTATGAAGTATTAAATTTTATAATAAGAACATATCTTAATAATTATTTTTGGTTTTTGAGATACTGAAAGAAACACATAGGTACTCCGTTTTTAAGCATGTTTTTAAAAAAATGTTTAAAATATATATATCAATACATCAATTGCAATAGTAAAGTGATTTAAATCACTTGGGAAATGTTTTATTTTATTTTTTAATACATTTATCGACTTTTGTTTCTACTCTGCTGAAGATGTCTTATCAAGTATCACGTACTGGCCGAAAGGAATCCGATTACCTTTAAATTTAAAATGCTGTCGAACGAATAGACACTTACTTGAAAGTAATCCCAAACACTATACTGTGATTTTTTTTTATATATATTTTTTAAGATTCGAAAACAGAAAATTACTTCAATACAGTTCTCATAAAACAAACGTATAATATATGTATGAATGTATTTTATCATCGCGAAGTTAATATACTATTTTAATTGGTTTGAATATAGTTCTGCA